TCCGGTAGATCGCCTCATCGTTGTTGTTGATGAGACCCACCACAGTCGTGTCGTCTGCAAACTTAATGAAGAGGTTGGAGCAGGATGCGGGAGTGCAGTCGTGGGTCAGCAGAGTGAAGAGGAGGGGGCTCAGCACACTTCCTTGCATCGGCCCCGTGTTCATCCTCATGGTGCTGGAGGTATTTCTGCATACCCGAACTGCCTGTAGTCTCCCCGTCAGGAAGTCCAGCAGCCAGTTACACATGGAAGTGTTGAGCCCCAGGTGGTCCAGTTTGTGTTTAGCAAATTGGTTCTATAACAGGCGGATCTCCTTGAGATCCATCCATCCGTTATCGGAACCGCCGCTTCAAACCATTGTCTAATTTCAAAAGAAAGGAAAAAAAGGGATGCGTTAATCCTGCAGACACAACTTTCAGTCTCTAGTGCTGGATCTTCTAAAATGTTGCCAGTGACTGTTAGGTCCCATCTTCACAAAAGAGAAGTGGGAGACAGTTCCCTGATAAGACAGAGTGAAAAAAAGAAACACACAAAACCCAACCTCAAGTCTGACACTCAGTCAAATTGACACATTTGTCATTATGATAAACTTTTTTCACCGGTCTTTCAATCACATTTGATTTTGACTTTATGCAGGCAGATAAACTACAGCAACCTCTCTGGGTCGATCGTTTTGCCAAAAAACACCTTTTTACCTTTTTATTGTCATAGCCTAAAGTTCCAATTGACCTTGAGTATTAAATATAAACAACCATGCGAAAATTCAAAGTTTAAACATGACAATCAATATTAAACGTTTTGTCTTTGTCTTCTTGTGTCTTGAAGACGTCAGTGAAGATTTTGGTCCTGGAAAGCTGGATCCAGAGTCCAACCACATTAAGGAGGAAGTGGAAGATGAAGAGCTCCCCTGCATTCAAGAAAAAGAGGATCCAGACCCTCTTCTCATTAAAAAGGAGGAAGAGCACACTCACATCAAAGAGGAGCAGGAAGAGCACCTCCTCACCAAGGATGGAGAAGAAGAGCCTCCCTACATCAAAGAGGAGGAGAAGGAGTCTATTTTCAAGTTGCCATTGACTGGTGGCCCTTTGAAGAGTGAAGATGCTGGTCAAAATGAAGCATGCGGAGGGGTGGGTCCTCCATGCGGCACCATCTCAAATCAACACGTGACATCAGAATGTGATGGAGGATCACAAGCAGATGACCTCTTACCACCACCGTCAGGTGGTGATGACATAACGCAACATTCTACTGAGACCGGTGATGAACCGTCTGAAGGTGATCTGACATGTGAAAGTGACAAACCCTGGAAATGTTCCCACTGCGGGAAGTTATGCTTATGAGTGCAGTTTGAAGAGGCATATGTTTAGCCACACTGGTGAGAAACCTTTTTCGTGCTCAGTTTGTGGCCAGACATTCTCCCAGAAGGGGACCTTAAAAATACACACAAGAACTCACACTGGTGAGAAACCTTTTGCCTGCTCAGTTTGTGGCCAAAAATTCTCTCAGAAGGCACACTTAACAGTCCACACAAGAACCCACACTGGTGAGAAACCTTTTACCTGCACAGACTGTGGTCAAGTATTCTCTATGAAAGCAAGGTTAATTCGGCACACAAGAACCCACACAGGTGAGAAATCTTTTGCCTGCACATCTTGTGGTCAAAGATTTTCAGATAAGGGATCCTTAAGACATCACAGAAGAACCCACGCTGGTGAGAAGCCTTTTTCCTGCACAGACTGTGGCCGAACATTCTCTCACAAGGTTACGTTAAAACGTCATAAAAGAAGGCACGCTAGTGAGAAACCTTTTGCCTGCTCATTTTGTAGCCAAAGATTTTCAGAGCAGACATCTTTGAGAAATCATACAAGAACCCACACTAGTGAGAAGACTTTCCTGCACAGTTTGTGGTCAAAGATTCTTTCAAAAGGCATACTTAAAAATACACACAAGAACCCACACCGGTAAGAAACCATTTTCCTGCTCAATTTGTCATTTTGTAGCCAAAGATTTTCAGAGCAGACATCTTTGAGAAATCATACAAGAACCCACACTAGTGAGAAGACTTTCCTGCACAGTTTGTGGTCAAAGATTCTTTCAAAAGGCATACTTAAAAATACACACAAGAACCCACACCGGTAAGAAACCATTTTCCTACTCAATTTGTGGTCAAAGCTTCTCATGAAAGTATCAGGTTAAGAATCACAAGTGCATTGGTGAGGTGAGCCATCATCTATGAAGTTTTGGCTTCTCATGGTTTAATCAATTCATGCTCTAAGAGTGACTGAATTCGAAGGTGCAGCGAATTGAAAACCAACAAAGTTTTGCCCAAAATGTGTTAGTTTTGAAATTTGGTTTTACCTCAGTCAGTTTTCAGATTGTGTTTGTATTTGTACATTTTTATTTTTCAAGCATATTTTTGTTTTGTTTCTTTGGATATTATTTGATTTGAAAGTGTTTAAAAAAGGTTCTGCTGTGGATGGAGTGATAGTGAATGGATTTTCATTTTGACGCTTTCGTATTGCTTTATTGCAATTTTTCATAGTTTCACAAAAGGCTTGCTTTTGTGGCAGGGCTGCCTCATATAATCATAGTTCAGGTAAAAGTTTAAAATGTTTGACTTCAAGTAATGATGTGTTTCTGTTCTGTGTTTTTCGTCTCAGTGAGGATTTGTTTGTGGTGAGTAGTGTGCGTGAGGAAGTGCTTTGTTCAATGTTTGTCAAATAAAAGCACCGATAGTCATAGACTAACTTGGATGGAAAACTGCATTTGTGATCCTGAATATATATTTTTTTATTTTGTTATGAAATGTGTTATGTAACTATATGTATTTCTCATTGGTTTCATGTTCTTCTTTCTTACTCTGCTTTACTCTGCCAGATTACGGAGCCCCTGAGGGGACATAGAAGGGAAAAAAAAACCCCAAAAACTTTGCATTCCCTCGCAAAGTTTTGCGTTCCCTCGCAAAGTTTTGCAAGATCTTGCAATCTTTGCTTTTAAATACGCGTTGACGTACTTCATCGTCATCGTCTGAATAACCGAAAACAACAAAAATGGAGGGTTTTCACCCGTTGGTGAGTTTAATTGAATTTTACTTTGAAATTGGCTTGTCACACAAAGACATGAAATCTCTTCTTGAGCTTAAATACGATTTCTAAATAAGCAAAAGTGCTGAACCAAAGAGGACTATTTCGTCGGAAAACGTTCAATGACTTGGGAGTCCTGGTTGACTTCATTCGCAACCAATTGCAGCATTCCGGACAACTACACGGTTACAGGTGGATGTACAGTAAGTTCAGAGGATAGGGACTTCTTGTCAGGAAAGACGACGTTTGTCTGGTCCTGAAAGAGTTGGATCCGAGAGGTGTGGTGTTAAGGCAAGCAAGACGTCTGAGACGACGAAACTAACTTCTCTTCAGGGCCAAATCTTAATTTGTGTAATGTGGCTACACAACAATCACGCTGAGAAGCCGCTTCAGTTTTTTTCAGCGAAAACGTGCCAAATATTGCCATCAATCATCCCGTTTTGTGACTGCTACTCGTAGCCATTAATCCAGACGTCATCTTCGATTTAAAAAAAAATCACAAATTATGTATTTTTGTTTTGCTGGTTAAAGTTTTTTTAAATATTGTGCTCCTGAGATAATGTTGGTGGTTAGTTTGAATGCATTATGAGTTACTGATTTTATGTAATTTTATTTTTCAATGTCGTACGGTTTGACATGGTTAGTCAAAAAATATTTATAATAGAATTAAGGTTTTAATGTTATTTTTGAATTTCAGATGCACTTTTAATGTTTTCTGTTACAGTTACTAAAGCTATTCTTTGTTGTAAGTTGGTCCATATTTCTTTCTTTTTATTCTCTTTTACGTTAATAAGGATACAGTGTTATGCAAAGGTGTACTTATCACAATTTTATCGACAAATGATACTCTTTGTCGTCCTGCTGGGGTGGGGGGGACGAGATTTCTTCCTCTTCCTAGGGGCGGCATGACAGAAAATAATTGAGACTGCCTTTGGGCAGAGGTACCCAACCAGTCAACCACGGACAGATACCACGGTGACCGTGACGAGTGTTGGAAAAAATGTTTTTTTTTTTT